TTGTATTTAAAAATCTTCTTTATCATCTTTGGTTTATGGGCATTTGAATTGTTTCCAAAATTTAGCTATTACAAACACACTTCTCAGATGAAGGAATACAAATGGCAAATAAATATGTGAAAAAATGTTCAACATCATTGCTCATTAAAGAGATGCAAATTAATAAAATGCTGAGATTCCATCTCACTCCAGAATGATTGATATCATCAAGAAATCAGTCAATGCCAATGCTGATGGCACTAGAGAAAGGAATCCTTCTTCACTGCTGGTGGGAGTGCAGATTGGTACAAACACTGTGGAAATCAGTATGAAGATGCCTCCAAAAACTAAAATTAAGGATGCCATTTGAGTATCTTGATTGTACCACAGTGATATGTGCACAACTACGTTTAAGGTTTAGCTGCTCTGTACAGTGTAAAGTAAGGAGTTCAGCATCTAACACATGGCAGTCCTCGTCAGTGCTATATCCTCGCCTGATGAGCCTATGCATGATTTCCTGGAAATCCAAGGCAGACCCACAGTACCACCTACATTCCCAGATGGGTGCTTTGCTGTAGAACAATTTCTATTTTTGGGGAGAAGCACTTGACTTCTATCTAGTCAGAAGTTAAATATTTCATTTTATTCCCAGCTGTAAGTGAATATTACTCCCCGACAGGGTATCCTGCCTTTTTTTTTTTTTTTTTTTTTTTTTATCTACAAGGAAACACCAGCTGTTTCCACCAAAGACCTGGGCCTGAGAGCGAGTCCATCACAGAAGCCTCCTGCAGACATCTGGTAACTTCTACAGGCCTGCACACATGCTTCTACTGTCTGTGTCCCTCACTGGGTTTTGGTAGGTGGTTTGAGAAAGCCTTGTGTTGTTACAAATGGCCTTTAACAATTCTTTTTAACACTTGGTTTTCTTCTTAAGAGGTGGTTTCCTGTACATTGCACTGAGCAGAAGACTCAAGTAGAAGAGTTACACCAGAATCACCAGAAGGCATTACATGAATTAGCTCTGACAGCAAGCAGGTAGAGCTGGGTGTGTTCAAGACCAGAACTGATTATCAGCCCACTCATCCACTAGCCAGATGTGTGGTTCAGGGAAACAGGTGACTTTTCCTGTGTTCTACCTGAGAAACAGAGTCACGGGGAAGAAGCCTGGCCCATAACAATATAGATAATAATTAACAAAATGGGTGTTGAATCCTAATGGTTATGACACCAAAAGCTAAATTTAGTTTAGCAAATTATGTTCCACAGGCTAAATATGATTGTCTAAAAACAGAATAATTATCATCTCTGTGATGTTTTTATTATGACAATATTATGTGCCGTGTCACATGCAAGACAAAAAAGAGTCACAAGATATTGTTTATTATTCTACTTATTATTATGCATTGATTGAAATATTTTATTTCCGTTTTCTTCATAAAGTCAGACTTTCTATTTTCTTACAAATTATGATTATGGTACTGTACACATAGCCAAATTTTCCAAATTTAAGTGTCTAGTTCAATGATATACGACACCTTGTGCAAACTTCACCCAGCATCATCCATCTTCAGGATTCTTTTCTTCTTTCCAACTGAACCTCTGCATCATCAATGTTACATTGTCCTGATCCCCCAGTTCCACATCATGATTACTCTACTTTCTGCTGTTATTATGATTTTGCAGGTAAAACCACTTTTTGTCCATACTGATCATGTGTAGTTGTGAGTTTCACAGTAGCATTTCATACATGCAAATAGTATATCTGATTCAGATCTACGTCCCCCAGAAGCCTCTCATTCCTTTGGTAAGAACTACACACACAACGAAGGACCATAACAAGTGAGCACAAGGTGTCAGGAAGACAGCTTCTGTGCCTGACTTTTCACCTCACCCTCTGTACTTCTGGTGGATAGTGTACTCTCCTCTGCTAGTGAAAGGAGCTGGGATTCTCCAAGGCCATATTGTGCACTGGCAGCTCCTTGCAGGACGCAGCTAAACTTGATTTACCTTTCCAACAAGTCATAGCTGTCTTTAGGGCTTGGGTTTTCTTTCCAGAGATGGATCTGCATTCATGACTCAGCTTTTAGCAGACCTGTCATGTCGGCCACAGACTGAGCTGAGCCATAGGTGCAGTGCATGCCAAAGGCCTTTAGGCCTGGCCTCTGGCTCAGATGAGCAGATGCTGTGAGATCATCATCTACTTGATCAAATTTTGGCTCAGAAAACTTCCTTCATCTTAAGCCATCATAAATAATAAACTAAATTCATTTTGAGTTTGCAATTTGCTGAATGTAGAAGCATAAAATTCCTCTGTTGAGATTCTAACCAGCAAGGTGACAGTGTTAGGCTGTGGGACCCATGGAGGTGATGAGGCAAAGCAGGCAAAGCCCTCATGGAAGGGATTGATGCTCTTAGAAAAGGAACTCAGGACTCCCTGCCTCCTCCCACCATGGGAGGACACAGTGAGAAAGTGACTCCTGCAGTTCCACAGGGGGCTGTGCTCAGAACCTGCCCTGTTGGAAAACCTTTATTGCACTTTGAGCTTCCATAGCTGAAACCTAAACGTCTATTTTTCACATGCCATTTAGTTTAGGATAATTTGCCACGGTAGCCTGGTACTAAGGCACAGTTTAAAATTTTAAATGTTTAAAAGTGGCATGTGCCCTCCCCTACATTACACATCTGCTAGTTCTAAGCTGGATTTCCTCCTGCAGTTCATAGGTTTACACCAAATATGGACGTGAAAAGAAGGATTTGATTTAGCCTAGTGCTCTGATGACTTTTCACTTTATTCTATGATTATGTTATGTTACCACACTGAGTTCCATAAGAGATAGAAAAGGAAACTAATAGTTTTGTGGAGTACCAGAGTATTATTTTAAAATCTTTTGAATGATGAGAAACCCCAGAGATGAAAAGGGAATTATTTACTGAGCGCCTCTCAGCTACTAATTGGAACAGCTGAAATCTGAAGCCATGCCTGTCTAGACAGAACCTAAAAGGTCAACTGCTTTGAAATTACAAATTACTGTAAATATTCTTTTAAGATAATTGATTTTTTTTGAATCGTATCTTCTCATTGTTTCAGAGGGGACATCCCAAGAGCTCTCCATTGTTTATCTGCAGATAATTTATTCAAAATCACAACTCTACTTCACAGCAGAGTCAAAACTATAATTCAAATATATTTCCAGTGTAATTCACTCACAAATTACTACTGAGTACTTGGGAAGAAGAAAACTGTGTTCTCTTGCCTCCACCTCTTTCAGCTTGATTCCCTGTGATACACGCTCTTTGTTTTTTATCAGTTAGCAAGTGATTAAATTCTGTTTTATTTTTTCACAACATAAATTTAAAAAGACATAAAAGAAAATGAGAAAGGCATAAATAATGTGGAGGTCTTGGTGACCATGTGCTCTGTTACTGGTTCTCATGTATTGTTTCTTTCAATATTCCTCATTTATGAAAACTTCGGTTGGGTTTAGATTCCCAATTTTAGTCTGAAAACCTAAAGATCACAGAGGCTAATTTATTTCAAGTCACAACACTTGGGGATGAGATTTTTATGGAACTTGAACCCTGTTTTCCCTGGCTCTACTATCTATGCATCCTTCCCATAGTCTATAGAGTTGAGCCTCATTATCTGGAGCACTCTAGCTTCTCTATCCTTTCATCTGATTCCAAATCATCTTCCTTTCCACATTCTCATTTAGCAACTCTAAAGAGGGTAATAAGTGTCTGAACTTTGCCAAAGCTAATGACATTTATCCATCCCTGTCTCATCTCTCAGCATTTAATGACTCTGTACTTTCTCCTGGTGAAACATTTTAGTTTCTGGTTTCCAAATTTCATAATTGATTCCATTTCTCAATGAACACTTCTAAGTCTCTTTGTCTGGCTTTTACTCTTCAGTCAATCTAGTGCTCCCAGCTCTACTTTCTATTTAGTAATTTCTATCAGGCCTGAGATAATCTCCATCCAAACAAATTTCTATGCCCACACATTGATATTCATATATACATGCATGTGTTTCCCGAGTGTTCCCCAGACCAAGTGGCTCCTGACCTGCCACCTGTCTGTCATTTACACCTAAAGCTTATGTGGAATTTGACAAAATCTCAGAATCTCAGTCCCCACCCCTATCTTTCTCACATTTTAGCCGCCATTTCCCAAAAGAAAATCAACATTCTGCTACCATATCTTCACTGTATAAAACAAAAGTCCAATCTTCCCAATTCTTTCCTCATATACACTTTCCAATTCATTATCTGGTATATTTTATTATATCTGAACTCCGTTACTCTTCTAATCTCTACCAATGCTGTAGCCCTGGTCTAAGTCAATGTTACCTTCCCAAGTCTCTGAAATGGCTCTAAATACTTTTTTTCCTCCCTTCTTGTTCCCTAATGTTCCATTCTCTATTTATCTATTAGGTGATTTTTAAGTCAGTACATCTGATAGTTAACTTCTCTGTTCAAAATCCCTAGTATTTTTTAATGTCTGTATGTTCACCAAGTGTCCACAGATAAAATTCTTAACAAGCACCACATGAAGTAGGTTCTTCTACGTAGCAGTCTATGTTTGGATTTTCACACACACAGAGTCAGTGAGGATCATGATTCCCCATGGGAAGAAGGCACGAGCAAAGGGAGATTTAAAAATGCATCTGCTGAGGTCACCGATTATGGCTTGGTAGAGGACTCAGACTTCCTGTGGAAGGCAACCAACTCAAAATCCCTGCTCTTGACTTTTCTCCACATCGAAGAGCTTACTCTTGTATGCTTCTATGCCAGAAGTGTAGTCTAGTGTAACTCAGCTGAGTGATGAGAGGACCCAGGACAGCATTTCAGCTATACCGAAATCAATAAACCCAGGGAGTAAGAGTTTCTCCCATAAACCCACAGGTCATGTTGCCTGAAAGTTAATGAACTAAGGAAAAAATGGAGCTCAGGGATTAATTGTTCGACTGTTTCATTAATCCAAGAAAAACACAGCCAGACACATTTGTCTTCCAGACAAAATCATACAAAAGTCTTTTTTTATTAAATATACATTATTTACAGTTTAAGTCTTTCTTCTGTACAACAATAACCATAGAAAACAAAGAAATCTAAGGCTAGCTTTAATTTTTCCCATACAGTGTGTTAAGACATGTTATGTGACCTACAAAACTGACTCAGAATGGGGCAACATCACTTGGGTTTTTGTTACAGGAACAAAAATCAGGGGATCCAAAGGGAGACTCCAGCAGATCCACACAAGAGAGGACCTGTTTTTCTGTTTTGTGCTTTTGCCATAACAAATATTCTAATATATATATTTAGGGGCAGCACATGTTGATTATTTATGCAGAACTAATTTTTTTTCTTTGCTCTTTCATTCCTCAGGAAATGAAAGACCCAAATGTACCAGAAGGAGACTAATTTCTCATTTGAAACAAACACTATAATGTTCTATCTTGGGGACTGCGAAATGACATTCCTTGAGCTAAGTTTGGATTGTTTCCTGTCTTTATAAGCCAGATTGTATTGGAATGTGACCTTATGCATCCATGCATAAGTGTCCGATTTCTAGTCCAAGACTTGCAGACCAGAGGAAGGGTATGCTCAAGTCACAGGATGTCAGATTGCCTGTCACTTTGCAAAGTTGATAAGAAGAAAATTCTTGATCTTGGTCCTCACCAAAAAAAAAGTCTCTCTCACAATATGAAGATGCTACTTTCAGCAAGGTCTGATAATTTTTGCAAGAATATTTAAGGCAGGACAAGGTTGCACTTCAATGCTGCCACTCAAAGAGAACAGACTGTGTTAATAGTTCATGTAAAACCCTTGGAATAAGAATGAACTGTAATGCAAAAGTATGTTTAGTCATATGTCCAACTATATCCTGCAAAGCTGTACAGAAGGTTACTACCTGTCAAATGCCTTTTGCAGAGGCCTTAGGGCAATGCAGTGCTCCATCTGCATGTCCAGAGCTTTATAGCATGCTGTGTGGCTACTGCTGGGACCAGCACACCATGATACTAATGAATGTAAGAGAAGATTATAAGCACTAATACAGTGAGTGTAAACTTTGGTCAGTGACATAGGGCTGTTCACCAAGTTTAATCATGTTCTGTTGGAAAGAATTTTCCTGTGTCACTAGAACTAACTGAGGAAAATATCTAGCTTCTGGATAAGGTAACATGTTAGTAGGCCAGAATATGCAAAGTGAAGTTTGAAGAGTGTTACATCCTTATCACTGAGACATGTCCATGGATGGCGGGACCAGGGAAGGAGACAGAAAGATTATTAGATTGACTCTAGGATCATAAGGCTTCTACTCATGGGGGACTCTCATTAGGACTGTAGACTTAAGGGGGTTTTGATAGTTTATTTTCCTTACACCTCTATGTAGGTGCTTCACTTCGGCAGTTAAAACATGTGGTGATACATAGTGGTGATAATCCTGAAGCACCCTGGATAAATTCTAGTGAAATAAAAATCCTGAAAAAAAAAACATCATTGTGATAGGGTTTAGAAGAGTCAAAAATGTTGTCCAAAGTGAGTGGAGAATTCCACAAGTAAAGCCCCTGACACTGCTTCTTCCCTCATGTGTAAGACAATGATCCAAATCCAAAAGAGACTCTGAGTTAGGAGCCAGAAAAATGAGAAGAGAAATGGCCATTAATTTATATGGGGAGCACTGACCCTCACCTCTGATGGTCACTGACTGCCTCCTCTACCTCCTGGACATGCTGCTAGCAGATCTGGTCCAAATATGCAATTCCAGCTTAACCCTCATTCCTATCTGCTCAGTCACTGTAAACTCTAAACATTGCAAAAGACAAGACAGTTAGCCTACAAAGTACAACATTTCACTGGCAAATGCACTTTTCTGTGCTTCCTCAGAATAACTTACTACAAAATAAAAGGAAAAAATTCACTCAAAAATACCAAAACAAATAATTATTAAAACCTTACAGGAAGAATTCAAATGACTGTCAAACCAAAACAAAATGGGAATGTTTCTCTCCTACTAAACAGTTATGTATGAAAAATCCCATAAAATGCTTGGATTAACAACCTTATTTTTACAATGTGTGTGTATGTGTGTGTGTGCGCGTGTGCGTGTGTGTACGTGTGCTATTTTCCCCCTCAAGGTGTGTTATTTTCCCCCTCTATTTGGCATTTGTGAACCCAGACATGAAAACTAGAAACAACTAAAATCTTCAAACTCAATGGTTTAACACATAATAGTGGATGAGTGGATAGTTTATGGTAAGAAACAATCCAAGAACATAGTATGGAAGTAATTCACTTACACTACATGCTTTTAAAGAAAAATATTTCAAACTGCACGAGAAATGTGAAATCTCACTCCGTTATCCTCCAGCTATGACAAAATTTTTGAAATTTCCTGTACTACCTTCCCTTAACTTCCTTTGCCATTTGCAGGAGCAACGATCTAGTTGATTTATTTAGTCTACACCTGACCTGCAGGACAAGTGAGGATTAAGTTCAGCCAAACCTTTAGCTTAAGGAAGAATGAGTAATAGAAGGTACCTCAAAAGCCTTCTGGAAATCTGGTGTTGCAACAAATGCTCGATTAATCATACCACTGGTAAATTCAAAAGAAACGAGGGAAGATGGGGGACGTAGTGTCCAATTTTGTCTAACAAAGAACTCATAGGGCCTGATTTCTGTATCCCTGTGTATCCTGGAGAAGATAGCCTGTGCCTTCTCAGTGTGACTGCTTTAGCTGAAATAATGTGGTGTAGAAAGAGGGTGCACATGACCTTCAATATTTAGACGTTCACAACAGGCATAGAAAGATGCCACTTCGATGGACACATTTTTAGTCAGTTATTTTCTCAAGGATAGACTCATCTTGTTCTCAAAGATTTCCCCCAAAATAAATCATCAGGTCTAAGGAACATTGTAGGAAGTGCTGGATTATGCCAGCCTCCTGCAGGATCATGGAGAGAGGCAATGGCACATAATTACATGAATGGCTCAAAGAAAGAACTGAAAAAGGACAGGAGGGATAAGGAAGTAGAATCTGATGCTGTGTATCTTGGAGAGGATCCCCAGTCTTCACTTAGGCCAGATACAGAAGAAGGAAGTCATTTAAAATTCACTACCTCACACTGAAACAGGAAATTATAGAATTCAGCATCCTTCAAAGTATGTCATAGGAAAGGCCATTTATTCTTGCTGTCCCAACCAACAGCTCACTTCCTTTCATAGAAATCTATATTCATAGATGGATACATTTTGAAGATAAGAAACAAAGTAGTTCACTATAGGTGGAAGTAATTAATTAAATACAAAGTTATATGTACTGTCTAAAAATCTGTTTGTTTCCTGAAGTTCCAGCAAGCAATGTACAAAATATTTTGGAGGATGTTGGCTCCGTGTTGCATAGTGTTTCATATACACTACTATTACAGCAATATGAACAACCCTTGTTAGACTTTAAATTTCTCAAGGGTAAGATGAAGGTGTAGTTTCTATTTGTATACTCAGTGCCGATCACAACTGTTGAAATGGTGGGCAATCAGTATATATTTGATGAAAGAACACAGAAGGAACTGAACAGTCTATTCATTATGTTCACTATGGTGGGCATGATTGTGATAAAAGGCAAAAGTCAGGTTAATACCACCTCTGTTGTTACTAAAGAAAAAAAAATCATTTTAAGATACTAGCCTCAGGAATCTTAAAGTCAATGTTCAATATGTAGTTAAGAGCAAACTGAAGAGGGTAAACTATTCATAAAAATATATCTACAGAAATGACAGATGTCTATTTCTTTAGATGAATTCTCATAGAAATCATGGCAAGCTAGTCTATAAACATAATGAACGACATAGTTGGTATTAAATATATTTTAGAGTAAACAAATACTCTCTCATTTGTATAAATTGGTTTGTTTGGTGGAAATAATATCAATGAAATAGCTTCCTTAAAGTGTGAAATTGTACAGGTATTTTTGGTTTTACTGTAAAATGATCATATTCCATAATTCTTTTCTAAGTAGCAATTACCGGAGCCTGAGTGTCAAAAAGGAGGAGATTATGGTCTACATGATCAGGGAACATGCAGTAAGGAAACTTGAATATCACAGTGAAATAAAGGTTGTTAAAGAATTCAAATGATCTCAAGGTCCAGTTTTAGATTACAATTTCTTGAACATGGAAACACACAATCAAATTACATACAACTAAATAGATCTGGCTACTGCTGAGGAAAGACAGGTAAAATTAGCACTTATTTCCCATTTCAGAGTGTTTTGCTTGGAGGGAGAAGCTTGTTTGCTTTTCAAATATATCTCTTAAAAGTGATAGTACTTTCTGGGGTTTTGACATAATCTAAACCTGTACAAATCATTCAGATTTAGCCCTGAGACTAATTATAATGGGGAGGGACAGAAGGGAAGACTGCACTGCTTGCCACTCACCCTGCTTTTGGTGTTGGGCATAGTGAGCTTGTATGTGCGGTCTATGTAAGCAAGCGGACGCCCGTGCATTCCATGTTGCAGATCTGGGAGCATGTGGCTTGCCCAAATTCTCCTCCCTACAGGAATTTCTCCAGGAATCTATAATAGATGAGACAGCAAATTCTCTGTGAAGGTTTTACTAGTCCAACCTTTCTTCCATAAACACCATGTCAGCAAAATATAGCCATGGCTTCTCAGAGACTTGAATAAGGAAGTGTCCCAATTTTATGACTCATACCTTCCTTTTCTGTTACATTTCATTGATGGAGATGCTTCATGCTAAACACACTTCCTTTCGTGGTGACTTTTACTTCATGTGACAAAGGAATATGTAGCCAAGCAAAATGCTGACATATCATAGCCTTTTTATAGAAATAGAAAACTTAAAAGTGAAAAGTGGGAAAGGGCAGGAAAGGGCAGGTGGATGCCAGGTGTAAAGAGTTTTCATTGTTTTATAATCATTCATCTCTTAGTAAAGCTAGAAAAATTTTAAAAACAGATTTTGGTTAGAGTCAGTGGAAAATAAATTTACTAGAAAAGCATAATTATATCCTAAAAGATGGAAATATTAAGAATCCACAGCAAAGTTTAAGGAAAAATGTGTATTTAGAAATTTTAGAATTAAGGAATACAATAAACGCCTTCATCCTTAGGTCAAACAAGCTCTGAAATTGAAAGCTCTGGAACGAAGTTAGTTTCTCCCTGTGAGCCCCCTTATGGTGGAAGCGGGCGTGAGTCAGAGACAAGAGCAATGCTAGCAGCAAAGGTGGACAGAGGCGATCAACTGGCAAGGCCAGCTAACAGTTATGTGGCAATTCTCTAGCAAATCAAATCTTCTCTGTAAAGAGTATCACTGAGTACTTTCCTCACCTGCAGATCCTTCCACTGCATTTCTAGCATCTTGGAACATTTATATTGCTTTCTCCTGATCTGTTTTTGTTTTTGTTTTTGTTTTTTTTCCCAAAGTGGCAAGAGGCAAAGGTAGGCTTATTATATAGCAAAATCACCAGAGTGCCTGCTGTCACCCACAGATAGGCACAAGAAGTCATTTTGAAGCAATGAACCCCACACTTTTGTTATCAAAAGGAGAAAACAGCCTAAGCTTTGATATCACCTCATTTGGGAAAATAAGTCTAATGAAAAGTGTGCGTAAAAATAGCTACTCTTACACACACACCATGTAACAGATACCAAAATGTGATGTGTTCTAGAATCTCAGGGCTTCTCTGAAATCTAGCAGTGGGTCAACTGGAGGCGGCCACAATACCACATATAACAGAGCTTCCTTTACATCTTAGATAACAGCTCAGTAGACAAAAGTCGATTTATCCTCTCTGTTCTAAATGTCAAAGTGCAAATCTGTATTCACTTTCTTCACCAGATCTCTCATGAGTAGATAGAACGGAAGAACTCTGGTTGGTATTTCTCTTCTTTCATGAAGCTGTTTTTGTTGTTGTTGGTTTTTTTTTTTTTTTCCATTTTTTATAAGCTGAGTTCACAGGATTTAAGCCTTTTCATGGAGCCAGATACTATTTTAGATTTTATTTAAAAGTATTTATCCTGCAGCAACTTACAAGTGTATGTCTAGACTTGTGTTATCTCAGTATAGTAATTCCAAGACTAACCAAGCAAATATGTCTTAGAATATCAAAGGAAGGCTATTTTGAAGTTAGGAAACATCTACTTCCTAGCAGCTTTCTGTACCCCGTATTTTCAAGCTACTATTCAATGCTGCCTCTAGGCTGATGCTATTGTGTGCTGGTCTACAGTGTAGGCCCCAGGAAACGGTAGTAATAAAGGAGCAGGGTAACTGGTCACTAATATTGCAAGCCTATATAAAATAAAAGTCAGAAAAAAAAATTGAATGGGCTGTTTTTGATAAGGAAATGAAACCAAAATAAACACACCTCTCCGGTGATTCATAAAATAGCAGTGAAGCAAGCCAGGACTGATGGGGAGATATCTCTCTGCCCTGGGTTCCCTGGTTCAAACAGACTTGGTAAGTGGGACTGTTAGATGCCTATGTCACAAAGCTCAAGTTCAAAGTAAGACCACGAGACAGAGTGAGTGAAAACCAGAGTGAGTTTGAGAAACTGGATATGCTTATGTGCATACACATGTCTCTTCCTTGTGTAGAACCGTAAAACCTGTGCCTTGAAAGGTCATTGTCACCACGGTGCATGTGTCAGAGAGTACGGAGTAGCCATAGCCGCCTGGTCTCCTGAGCTGAGTCAAGTGGATCGATGCTGTGGTGGATGCAAATGACAAGCGATTCAGATAAAGAGAATAACCAAACTTAAAGTACAGGAAGGGAAGCAGAAAAAGTTCACGACTACAAAATGTTTCTTGGGTGACCCTGCAGTTTCTCAGATGAAATATTCCCTTTTGCACTCACTCACTGTGTTTTGCAAGTCAATATCATTTCTAAAGGAACTGTCCAAGTTCTCAGGGTACTCCTTCTCCTTCATCTGGTTGGTTCGGTGGGATTGCTTATGCTGGTATAGGAAGCGGATCATGATGCCGATGGTGCAGAAGGTAACAAAGATCACCACCGCTATCACTCCTGTAGGAAGGAGGAGGGAGAGAAGTAATGGCCATAAGTTATTGCCTGGGGGGGAAGATGCAGGGCAGACAAATAAGTCTGTCAAAACAAAACAAATTCTGCCACCCACCTGTAAATGAAGACTGCTAAAATGAATTCAGTCTTCAATTATTATAAAATTTAAAACTTCTTCTTTCAGACCAGTGGTATCAAAAGCCAGGTTAAACCTTAGTAGTGTCTTTTTTTTTTTAATTTTAAAGAAATAAAACCAAGCAAAATAAAACAATAAGACAATCAAAAAATAATGAAAGTGATACAGAACTTCAAAGCGAGATGGTAGGGAATCAACAGTGACAATCATGCCTTTGTCATCTTTGTAACAGCTGTCCATACCATCAGACATAATAAACCAAATCAAGATGGAGTAAAATCAATCAAAATAAAACAATGAAAGCAATACAGGACTTCAATACAAGATAACAGGAAATAATGGCTATATAATATATCTTGTTATCTTCAAAATAGCTGCCCGTGCCATCAGATACAACAAAATCAAACAAAACAGTATAAAATTTAACAAAAATGAAAAAAAACTAGATAGTAAGAAACTAACATCCTCCCTTTTCAGAAATTTCCTCCCCTTTCACTTTCTTAATATCTGTTGTACTTTGTGGATCCCACTAACTCTGTCCGTTTTTTATATTAGGGAGGTAACATGATGTACCCATGTGAGTACAAACCATTTTACCCATGAACATGATCTCAAGTTGCATCCATTTACCTACAAGAGCCTCAGCATTATCCTACTTTATAGATGAGTAGCTATCCATTGTACAAAAGGGCCATGACTTCCTTATCCGTTTTGTGGTTGATGGGTAGGCTACAACTGCTTTTTTTCTGGTTCCCTGTCACATGGAGCATTGTTATTTGTCCTTTGACTTTCAGTCTATGAATGTCCTTTTAATTTAAATGTTCCTTGTATACTGGATATTGATGGAACATTTTCTTGGTCTGCTCTGCCTGTGTTTCTTTCTACTGGTGAACTGAGGTCATCTACATTAATGGTTATAACAAATATGCACTAGTTTGTCTCTGCCATCCTGTCTTCCTGCAGGCTCCATTCAATTGCTTCCCCTCCATTCAATTGCTTGCCTTATTCAGTGATCCCCCCTCTGCTGCTGTTCCTGGAATTTTGATCATCTTTATCTCTCTCTAGAATATCCTTCAGTATTCTTTGTAAGGTTAGTTTGGTGGCCATGAATTCCTTCAGTTCTTTGTTATGGAAGTATCTTATTTTTCCACTAATTTTTGAAAGATAGTTTTGTAGGGTATATCGATCTGGGTTGGAAGTTGTTTTCTTACAGGATTTGAAATACTTTAATCACTTCTTGACTTGATAGTTTATATTGAGTAGTATTGTACTGTAATTCTGATGGGTTTTCCTTTGTAGGTGATCTATTTCTTTTCTCTAACAATTTTTAATATTTTGTTTTTGTGCTTGATTATCATACATCTGGGTGTAGATTTATTTTGGTTATGGCTAGTTGGAATTCTATATGCCTCACTTATCTATACATTATTTCCTTTTCATAAGCTTGGGAAGTTCTTTGCTAATACTTCTATAAAAAGTCTTTATATGTAACTTGTGTTGATGATTGCTTGCTGACACTTGTAAGTCTTAATTAATTTTTTGTGTCATCTTGCAGCCATTGAGTTGTTACCTAGTTTCTTGTTATTTTTAAGAGATCTTTCGTTTTGTGATTTCTAGTTGCAATCCCGTCTCCAAAGTCTGAAAGTCTATCTTCACTTTCTTTCAAGCAGTTTTAGCAGCTTTCAGCATTTTTAATTTCCTCGATATCTGTTTGAATCTGTTTCATGAATTCCAGGTCTTCCTTATATCATTCATTCAAGGTTTTCTTCATTTTTCTATGCTTCTTTTTTAAATTTTTTTCTTCTTTAGATACACTCAGTAATCGTTTTATTGTTTGTCAATTCTTCTTTTATGTAAGATATTATTTCTAACCTGATTTCTTTGACAGCCTCATGAAACTGTTTCTTTACTTCAGTTACCATCATCCCAGAAATTTCAGATGTGCAACTTTCAATTTCTTGCATGTCTATGACTGCTGAACTTGTTCTGTATTAGTGAGCTTTACTGGGTGGTCTAAAAATCATCTTACAAATATGCATTCAGAATAGCAAAGGACAGGGCCAGGGATTTAGCTCATTGGCTCAAGTGCTTGTTTGGTAAGTACAAAGTCATGAGCTAGATCTCTGGTACAAAAAAATATATTTATAACAAAGGGATTCTGTTTCTGTTTGTTTTGTTTCATTTGGGTACTGAAGATTGAACCCTGGGCTTAACACAAGCTGAGGAAGTATTTCTCCACTGAGCTATGTCCTTAGTCTGGCAAAGTCTCTTAGTAAAGTTTTTCAGGATCTTTAAAACACTATGCCAAGATTATTTTATTTCATGTTTTTCACTGGCCATGAAACTACGTCTTTTAGAATTTCCAAGAATATAATACTTTAATGCCTCTCATCCTAGTGCAGACTCTTTATGTAAGCTTATTTTGTGTTACATATTTGATATCCTAGAAAGTATTCATTAACTGTGAAATGATTACCAACAATTCTTACCCTCTTCTGCATCCTACTGGACTTGAGCAGAGTTGGGATAATTTTGTCCTTGTCAAACTCATATAGGACTGAAATGACAGCTTCCTCGAAGTCTGTTACACTCACATTTACTTCTATATGATTTTCCTGAATTTATTTTGTGAGTTATCTTCACTGACTATAAGGATTCATCCATAATTTTACCAAGAAATGTCTTGAGGCAAAAAAAAGCACTAATTGCAAAAGGGCAGTAAAAATGTGAAAAAGGGAGACTGTGTCTCTACATAAATGTAGGATTTTCACCCCTAAAACATTTTAAAATATTTTTGACACTCAAAGATCATTTCATTGGTAATTATAGATTCTGTTATTTTGCTCTTCTATGTAGTGCAGTATTGATAAAAATATGTCTTTCAGAAACTCATTGTTGAACAATTTGCATTATCATTTATATAACCATGGATGATGAGATTTAAGTACATTGATGGCATGTCTTCCATCAACTGTTTTGTCAAGTTTGGAAAATAATTAACATCTCTTATATTTTTCTGTATTCCTAAATCACATTTACAAACTACTTTAGAAAAAAGGCAGGGTAAAATCACCTGAATTAATAGTTCTGTGAGTGTGGGTAGCCATGTGAAGTTCTAAGACAATAACGAGGGAAGTGTTTCCCCCACATTCAGCACAACCGTTATTCAGAACTGGAGGCACAGAGGCCTCCAGGAATTTTCCAGGAGAGTTAGTGTAACTTTCTTACACAGAAGGAGACTCACGGAAGCAGGTAAATGAATAGTGAAAAGTTATCAGTCACAAGAGTCTTTTCTCCACTTGTCAAAGGAAAAAATTACATGAAGAGAAACTGGTTCAAAATACTTTCTAATATTTCCTGATGCCAAGCAAAAATCAAGTTCAGTTGTCTTCCCTGAGGCAGAAATTCAGCAGAGATGTCGCACAGACTTCCTTAGGGAAAGGTCATGGAAGGCCATGGTTTTCCTTGCTTACGTTCTGACAGCAGTGGTGTGCCTGGGGTACACTTGCCATGTGTGCTTTCCCAACAATCTTCCCTTCTTCTACTGCTGTCTGCTTGCTCATCCCTTCCCCAACCAGCCAGGAGTTCTATAAAGGCAGTGTTCATATCTTTCAGCCTGGGTCCTCACATTTACCAGAGAGGCTGACCCATAGTAGGACTCATTAAATACAAGTGAAATGCATGGCTAGTGCTGACTTTTAAAGCAGAAACCCATCTGGTATGGATCAGTTCACCCACACTTCTGTGAGGTAGGAACAGGGCACCTGTTAGGGTAATGGTTCTCAGATGGAAATAAATTTAGTCTCTTTCAGGCATCTTCCATTAAACTAGGTTTTGGAGTCTTTATCTACTGCAATACAGAGATGGAAAAATCCAGCTAATGTAGTCAGCAAGCAATCTGAAGGCAGAATAGAAAGGTTGAGGCCAGGGTTGGAAAAATGTAAGAGGGAGAGAGGGAGACAGGAGCTGAGCTGACAGCAGCACAGCCAGGATCTTCATCTGGAGCCATATGTGCTGCTGTGTTTGGAACTACAGTCCTGTGGGCTTCACCCTGCTCATTAGATCTAATTCAAATCACTTGGTAGAGAAAGCCCGCCAGGACTGTGGCTTCCCCCATCTGTCAGCCCTGATATGGCTTCTTCTTCATATATAGCTTATTGATCTTCTTTGTGTATGCGTTAGGAAATGTGACAACTGGATGAGAGGAATGGCATGCAGGCTGCTTGTTTGTAAGTGAATGCTCCAGCTGTTGACTCTATGCTCAGCTGTCTGGTAAATCAGAGGCAGGATGAAGCCACAGATATCCTGGCATAAGAGATCACTGTCTTTGATCCTAAAGCACATATGACTATTCCTGAAAGGCTCACTCCTGGAAGATGATGTGGGCTTCTGGGCACTGGGAGGCCATCATTAGAGAAGGCTTCAGGTAATTTTCTCTGAAGCCCAGCATTATATGTGTCCCTTCTGCCTCTAACCACAAAGAGTAGTTTACCTCCAATGACTGCAGAATCACTTCGAACTGCATTGGTGAGTGGTTCCCGCTCATCTGTCTTCCCAAAGGGATCTAAAAGGAGTAAGGACACAAAATTTTAGTCTTCCCACAATGCGCTGGAAGAGATTTTATGACATATCTGTTGGATATACCACATATTCTCAAGGAGTTGAGAAGTGGTGTTTTGGGAAGAGCCCATACAAAAGTTAAAACATCTCAAATAAACTTCTCTCAACCTGGAGTTCCAAGACCCTGTTAACTTATATATAAGCTGTAGGAGAAAGAGTTGAGCCAGGTGCCTGAGTTTTAGGGGGCAATTCCTGTGCAAGAGAGTGGCTCCTTCCACAGTCACAGAGGTACCTCTACTTGACTGTTTTCTTCAATTGCAAGAGGATTCTGTGGCCATTGTGAAGGAAAAATGTGCTGGAGAATTAACACCTCCAGGAACAATCCTCACTGAGAAAACAAGTTGTACTACATGTCCAATAGCATTCGTGATACAAATAAACTGTATGTATCTTACTCTATACAGTGCAAGAAACTACAAAGCATCAGATTCAAAGACAATACTCTGTGTCAAAATTTCACCCTACCATTCGGTGGTCTAGTGCCATTGCACAAGATCTATTTTTAAGTAACAAACTGCACATGAATTGAAACTGGACAGTGATACATACACACACATACACATAAATTTACACAATATGTGTACAATTCTAGCATCTGGTAGATATTACACATAAAATAAATAGCTGCCATCATTAATATATATCTTTTAAGCCTCGGAGAATGACAAAACCGTATATTTTAACAGAAAAAAAAGCATGCTTGAAGACATTAATGTCCCATAGCTCCTTCATGGCAGAGTCAATGTACACTTGGGGCTGTCTAACCATCCTATTTAGGCTCTTTCTACCTCACTTCACTCTGGCCAGGAAAACTCCAAGGTGGAAAACAAGCAGTCAGAAGAGAGAAAAAGGTATAGTGAAAGGAGGTAGAAAATGCAAAGGCAGGGATAAGGAAGAAAAGAAAAGGGAAAAGAGGAAAGGCAAGAAGGAAGAAAGGAAGGTGAGGGGAACAAAGGGAGAAGGAAGCAAGAGGCATGGAAAACCAGAGTTGAAACCACAGTAATTACTGCATTACCTGTGTTCTCAAAGCTCACTATTCTTGTCTACCCCTGTCCCAACTCTCCTTTCTGGAATTCCTCCTGCTTCTTTATGAATATTCAAATTTCAGCTCTGTACCAGGATTCAGATCATGACTTTTTCTTACTCTAATTTAGAGTGGTTCCTTCTACTGTATTTTAACATTATAAACTGATGTTGCCTTTATTTTAACCAAGATTTCTCTATTTCTAGAAGATTTTGATGTCATTAAATTAATAAATATTTATTCAGTTCATTAATTCTGATTCTCTAGTGTTTATTAAAATTACACATAAAACATTCCAGATCTGATAAGTGCATCAGAAACATGATCACAAAGGCACACACACACACACAGTGTTTCTACACATGCTTTAGGAAAACTTTCTGGAAAGCAATCCTGTGTGGTAACTGATTGATTTCAAGAATGTACTCTATCTTTATAATGTGGCTTTTGAGACTTTGCACTGATGGTTTACCTTTAACTTTCCTTACTCCCACATAAATGTCTTAATTTAAATACTCAGGCACCATTTCTCCATATCCATCTATGAATATTTTATACACATAAACATTTCATAGGCACTTCTCATATTTTCATTTTACAGTCATCCTAATGGTTATTTTGATTTGCTTTCTGCTGATCACTAATGATTCTGTGCACCTTTCTCCAATACTTATTGTTCATTCGTACTGCTTCTTTACAAAAATGTCTACTCAGATACTTTGTCTTATTTTAAGCGGGTTATTAGTTTACTGTCTGAGTTCCTTGTATATTTTGAATTTTGATGTCTCATCACAGCATTTTGAAAATATTTTGTTCCACTTCATAGGTTACTGTTTCTTTTTGTTGATCATTTCCTATATTGTGCAGAATAATTTTTAACTATGTAGTCTCGTTCTTTATTTTTTTGCCTACATTTTTTATTTTCATCATATCCAAAAAATCCTTGTCAAAAAAAGATGAAGGAACTTTTTTCTGCATGTTTTCTTCCAGAAATGTTACAGTTTTGTATCTGACATGTAAGACTGCGCTCTCAATTTCAAGTTAACTTCTTTATACGATGACAGTGATTGAATTTCAGTTGTTTTATTGCAGTTATCTTATTTTGCCAACATCACTTGTGAAATATTAGTTGAAGATATATGTCTTGTCTCATTTCTGTGCTTTCTATTCTGTTGCATTGTCTGTATACCTGTTTTTATACCAGTATCCAGTTTTTTTGACTAGTATTCTTTCGTAATGCAGCACAAGGTGAACTCAGGCTGCATGTTGCCTCTAAGATATCTGTGCTCCCATATTCAACTGTAATGTTATTTATAATATTTAAAGTGTGGAAACCACCTATTTGTAAATGAATAAATATATATGTATATAGTTCCTGTGGTGTGCATATATACAAACAAAATGAAATATTATTCAGCCTTAAAAAGATGATTATACCATTTGAAGCAAAAGAGATGAAAATAGAGGACGTTATACCAAAAGAAGTAAATAAGGCACAGAAAGAAAGGGGAAAACTATGTGACTTCATTTATATATGGAATTTAAAAACAGCTAAATTCATAGAAGCAGAGAGCACAGTGGTGATTGCCAGGAAATGAGACATGGGAAAAATGGACAGTTGCTTGTTAAAATTTATAAGCTCTCAGTTATAAAATGCATATATTTTGCTAATCTAATATAAACACAGTTACTACAATTAATTACACTGGGTTTTTTCTTCAAATTGGCTAATAGCCTAAGTCTCAGGTGACTTCACCACACACACACACACACACACACACACACACACACACACACACGGAGAACTATGTGAAGTGATGGACGTAATGATTAAATTCACTGTTATATCATTACATGTTACAGAGGTATACCTGTATACACTGAGTATGTACAGGACAATATTAATGATGGCCATCAAATGAATTATAATATTACTTCAGCAACCATCCTGTTCCCTCTGTAATTTCTAAATGATGTAATTCTCAGAATAGCCTCTTACATAACAGTGACTTTGTACAGATTCATATGTGAATATATTATGTATATGTATTCAATTTAAACAACATACTTTTAAACCTTATTGCTTATAATCTGAATATTAAGAACATCCATGAGTAGCCAATCATAATTTGTAGTCAAATGTAAGCATAGAGGGAAAGGAATTGTGTAATACTGGCTGACCCTGTAAACTGAGAATTTCTAGAACACATCAAAAATATCCTAATGCAGGAAGTAAGATTGGCCATTCTGTACCATACCTGATGAAGAATGTACAGTGGTCACTGCACTCACATCTGAGTCTACCATGAAGCCACAGCTGGATTCTTTCAAGGCCCCATGCACAGTCACAGGTGCGATGGCAGCATGACGCAAGGCTGCCTTCAGCGGTGCTACGTGGTTGTACTGGACTGAAGACAGACATCCAACAAAGCCCATGGTGTTCGCTTTAGCAATTTCAGAATCCAATCCAACGTTCTCTAAAACGTAAAAGACAATCAGAAGTCTCTCCCCACAAAATAGGCTGAGTCATCTTTGAGTACCACAAAAATGACCAAAATTATGTCATTCTTTGAATAAAGAAAACCCTGTTGTTACCTCTCTCCATCCACTCTCCAACCTTCATCCCACTGCAAGAATCAGTATATCAACCATATTTCCTAGAAAATCGGTAATGCCGTCTCTGAGCTTAGATTAATAATATTCCAAAGTTCTTCATTTCAGGCATGTGCTGTATGAACTAGATAAAAGGCAGTCAATGTGCTCCATATGTTAGATGGGTAACGAAAAAAATTCCCTTTTTTGTTGAGAATCATTTAACTTTGTAAAGAAATTTTTAATCTTTATAAAAGATGAAGATGCAGACATTCAGGACTCTCAACAGATGCATCAGTTTCTTCAACACTTGTGGTAATGTTACCACTTTGTATTCTATTTCTCTTAAAAATGGTTACTTGAATAAATTACTACAAAGCAATTACATAAAAGTGCAGTACATAAGGGATCATTAAAAAGATATCATAGTTTTTTAACATGACTAGTTGTCGTGAACGGTTATTTTATTTAACTTTTTTTTTTTTTTTTTATTTCCTAGGAAGAAGGTCAGGGACTTCTCCTATCTACCAACAATCCTTATAATTTCATTTGGATTCCTAAGTATTAGAATGCCTTCATTGATTTCCAAGATTGTAGGTACAAAGTGGAAATTTAACATCTTTTAATAGTGCTTTCTCCAGTTTTGTCCCTATTTTACCCTGCTTTTCAACAACCATATAAAATTAACTCATTCATCTTTTCTTACATGAGAAGACAGTAACTACACGTTATTATAAGTTTATTTGACTGCTGTAACAAATTTCCATTAACTCCAACAACTTATACCAAACCTTTTTTTTTTTTAATTTTATTTAAGGAGAAAAGAAAAAAAAAAAGCAGAGAAAGGGTACAAGTTATACAGATTTGCAGAAAAAAAAATGAACAGTAGGAAATTACTAGTTAATGGATTACATATTGTCATCTTAGAAATAATTGTTCAAGTCACAAAATTAAAGCTTGTAAAGTGGACATTCCATCAATGATACTGCAAACAGTTCTGTACAATGATCCAATAAAACTCTGTGATATCATATTCTATCTTATACACTTAAATATACATGCAGTTATATAGTTTAGAGCACTTTCTTTTCCTCTCTTTTGTACAATGACTATTACACATTTTGGGTTTCATTGCTCTCACGGTTCTTATTACTTTTTTGGAAGAGAGTAAAACCAAATGTGACATAACAGAACAGAATCGGTCAAGTCAAAAGGGTGGACATAATAGATAATGTGAAAACATAATACAAGGTGATCAACAGTGGTTACCATAATGCCTCCCGCTATCTCTAATAGAATTGCCTATACCATTAGTTATAATACAATTGAACAAAACAGTAAAGAACAAAACCGACAAAACCAAACCATTGGAGACATTGTAGGTCTTCAAAAGTAGATAAAAGTCAACGAGAATGGGCGTTATAATGAATCTCATTATCTTCACAGCTGATGCCTAAATTTTCGAACCTGATACTATCCAGCAAAACAGAATAGAGGAACATCAGTTAAAAACCAGATGGTGAGAGTAATACAGGGCTTTAAATCGAGGTAATGGAAAGTCAAAGTGGGTTACTATAATATATCCTGTTATTTTTTTTTCCTTTAATTAAAAGGATAAAAATTTTTTAAAAAGTATTAAAAAAGTAAATAATGGAGTGGAGATTGAGATAAAAGAGGGCATAACAACGAAACAGCACAGATCAAAACATAACCATTTAAGCAGAATAGTGTTTCACCACCAGATAATCCTGACCTAAAAGTAGTTACCATATTGTCTCTTTCCTTGAAATCCTTGAGTACAACTTCGTATACTGTAGCATTAAGTATATCAAAACAATGTAAAACCATTTAAGAGAATGACAGCATTACAGAGTATTTAGAATCGACTAACAGAAAATAAATAATGGTTTCTGTATAATCTCCTTGTCTTTAAAAGGTTTTTGCTTATACTATCGTACATAATAAAATCCAGTAAGATACAACCTATTTAGACCATTGGAGACAGAAGGACAAAAGCTAGATGAGACTTCAAAACAAGATGATACTAAATCAATATTACCTATTAAGATGTCATTTTCTCCAAAATAGCTGTTCCTATCATCCAATCTTCTCTGCCTCATTTCTGTTGAGCTCTTATTCTGTCAGTAGCTGTCAGTTTGTCTTCTTCACTTTGTTCTCTGCTCCATTAGTTGTGGCCTCCACTATTTCTGGATTCTTTGTATTTTTCTTTTTTTAGAATATCCTGCAATACTCTCTGTAGAGTTGAATTGGTGGTTGCAAATTCCCCCAGTTCCTCTTTATCCTGGAAGCACCTTGTTTTTCCATCAATTTCCAGGGACAGTTGTGCAGGATATCTCAATCTTGGCTGAAGATTATTATCTTTCAAAGCTTGAATTATTTCCCCCCATGCTCTTCGTGATTTGATGGTTTGTGCAGAGAAATCTGCTGTAATTCTGATGGGTGCTCCCTTGTAAGTGGTCTGTTTCTTGTCTCTGACAGCTTTTAATATTCTGTTCTTGTATTGAATTTCTGGAATTTTTATTATTATATGCCTGGGTGTTGCTCTGTTTGGGTTGTAGGTAGCTGGGGTCCTGTATGCCTCATACATCTGAGTATCTTTACCTTTTGCTAAATTAGGAAAATTCTCCTGGATTATTTCTGTGAGTAGCTTTTGTAGTTCACTTGTTTGTGTCCCTACTTCTTCTTTTATGTTCTTAATCCTTAAGTTATGGATCCTCTTATCATCTTCTTGTCTTTGTATTATTGCTGTTTGTTTCTTTGTTATTTTTAAGAAGTTTTTCATTTCATTCTCCCATATTACAATTCTGCCCTCCAGTTCAGATAGTCTGTCCTTAGTTTCTTTCAAGCTGTTATGCCAGTCTTCGATAGACTTCTTAGTTTCTTGGTAGTCCCTTTGAACCTGCTTCACGTATTCTATGCTTTCCCTGTTTTCTCCATCAAACAATTCTCCCCTCTTTTTCTGTTCTTCCATTCCACCATCTGTTTTTTCTTGGGGGGGGGCTTAGCATTTCTCTAACTATTTTGCATACTTCTAGCTTCAGGTCGTTGATAACTTCATTCCTGAATTGGTCTATGAGGCTCTCTATATGGTGCTTTATGTGTATTGGTGTGGTGTCCGCTATTGCCTGTTTCTCAGAGTTGGGGGCCGAGGAGCCTTTCTTGTTGCTGCCTCTTCCCATATTCTCTGTTCCTTATATATGCAAGCTTATATGAGAGGCCCAGCTTCTCTCCCTGTCAGCCACAGCCTGATCGAATTGTGCCGGTTAGGTGTTCCCACTCACCACTGCGCACCAGGCAGCCTACGTGGGGGCCCGCCCCTCCCGGCCTCCGTCAGGCTCTGGGATCTGGTTTGGGCCAGCCTATGGGGTCCGCCGGCAGTGTCACGCAGGCCAGGCACTTTTCACCAATCCCGCCCGAGAGGGGAATGTGTGGCTGGAGTCACCACCGCGCCCTGCTCCCGCAGGACTGCTCGGGCCCAGAAAGTCCGCTGGAGTCAAACTGTGGTGGAGTGTCAGTTTCTCTCACTCACCTCGCCACAAGTCAGAACATGCCTCCCTGCCCGTCCTGTTTTCGACTCCGTTCGCAGAGTCCCGTTCTCAGAGTTTCCGCGCGTCTCTCTCTTTGCCGAGCCGATGTAGAGGCAGCCAGCCACTGCGCAGCGGGAAACCCAAATCGCGGCTTCCAATGGCGCAGGGTCCAGCCTCAACAGCGAGACTTTTCTGTTCCTGTTTTAGCACCAGGACTGCATTCCAAGTTGGTTTCTCTCAGCCGAGTTCGTTCCTGAGTCAGCAGAGCATAACTCCACCTGCTTATGTCTCTTTAGTCCGCACCATATCTGGCTTCTGAGCCTAGTTTTTCAGAGAGCCTCCGGTAGTTGCTGTTATCTGTCCGCCCTATACCAAACCTTTTAAACCTAAAAATACTCTCTAATTTCTGTAGGTCAGGACTGTAGCGTAGTGTTTATGGGGTTAAAGATCAAGAGATCGGCAAGGCTGTATTGCGTTGGTACTTCTTTCCCATTTTTAATGCCCACCAGTCACTCCGTTTTTGTGCCTTAACCTCCTTTGCCTCTCTTCAATACCAGCAACTTTGCTTTTCTCTGTGCCTTTTTATCACAGTTGCATTTGCCTCTAATTCATTTTTATTATCCATTCATTTTTAAGGACCCTTGTGATTACAGTGGATTTATCTTGATCATGGAATAAAACTCTGTATTTTAGATACAGATTGGTATGAATATTAATTTCACTTGTGACCTTAATTCCTCTTTGCACATAGCCTAATACATTCACAGATCCCAGAAAGGAGGATGAGGACATTTTACTCTGCTTATGAATCCTGTTAGAGATTCCTTAAGAACATTCTGAACAATGATAATGAAGATAAAAGAGAGATATGGTGTCATTTTTCTTCAGGTATAAAGAATCCTGGAATTTTAAAAGAAATCAATAACTTCTAAATATTCAATAAATACCCTACAGTCATGTTATATATTTATTACTAAAGAAACGATAAGGTATGTTTGCTATTATGAGCTTGAAAACTGTCCTTTCTGAGATTTCTCATATATTGTTACATAATAGCATTACAAGTAAAAAGCTGTAATAGACCAGGGGTTATTAGCTCATGCCCTTAGGAGTCAGTGTACCCAGAGATAATACAGAATTGTCAGTAGGCTCTGGTATATAGGAAGCAAATGGTATGATTTGAGATCAAAACATTTAGAGGAAGAAGTCAAAGACAGAAGAAAAGAGGCATCCTCTGCACGGAGCTCTCACAATGTAGGGAACCAGAGCAGTGGAAAGTGCCACCCCACCACAGCTATGCCTAGAGGCTCTCCATGGAAAGTGCCCACTTGCACTCTGGGAGCTGAGTTGGAAAGGAACCAAAATTGGTGCTAAGGACTTGGGAGGACAAGGCCACGGCGACTGTCATGAACAAGAGCCGCAGGTACAACTGTAGGTATCTGGAAAACAGTTGAGTGGAATGCCAGAAAAATGACACTCTCTCGAGGCTTAAAGGAAGCAATGTGTTCAATAAAGTCTCATTTCTTGGGAAGCATTTTTATTCTAAATGTATAATGAAAGGGAGATGTTGGGGATTTTTATGAAATAAATGAGAATAAAAATGCTTAATGTGAGGAAAGAACTGTCACTCTGAGGCCTCAGATCATGGTATTTTTAGATTCTTACTTAAATGAAGAGGTTAAAAATTCATGATAATTCCAAATAATTTTACTTCTTATAGTAGTATTAACTAATATGTGGTAAAATGACAATAAATAAAAAGGTAAATAAATAATAAGCAAAACCATCAACCTTCATTATTCATTAAATAGCAATATGTCACTGTAATTGATTTAAAAATATTTATTCTGTTTCTCTCCCAAGTTCTCCCAGTTGTTTTTTGTAAGCAATTCAGACTGGAGGAAGTTAACGGACATTATGTGATTGAGCTGAAATTTCAGTCTAAAGCTTTATGACCTTAAATTCTACACCCCTCATCTAAGCAATCCTACCACCCCAAAACATGAAAAATAAGAACCTCAAAAATATTTCTAGAGTAACCTCATACAAATTATCTAAAAAAAAAAATAGGCTGCAAGACTAAGGAAACTATAAGTTATTTTGGTTGAACATTCCACAGCATTCACTGAACACTACACTGAACACATATTTCCCAATCCATTTCCAAAATCATTTAATTATGTTTTCAAGTTACAACTGAATTACATATGCAAGGAGACAGGTGAGGGAAATATTTTATCTGCTGACCTAGAGAATAAATATCAAAGGAAAACTTAACAGTTAGTGTGTTTTCTCAGAGACTTACAGAATGATAATACAAACATGCCACCACTGACAAATATCTGTATTCTCTTACATACTGTTTCCAAGATACTCCACTAATATATAAAATTTCCAACCAAACAAGCATAATTCCAAGGTTTCTTCTAGTAACACATGTTGTTATTTGGAGAAACCACAGGTTTCTTATGAGAAAATCTAGATCATTTCCAAATAACTTATTTAAAAGTTACTTAGTTTATTCTTCCTAACACAATTTAAATGCTATAAAAATACAGTTTCTGATGTCTTTTACATTTTAGGTCCTTGCATGTAAATCCAGAGGCAGAAAGCAACATGGGATGCTGACATGGTGCAGGAGGAAATTCAGACACTGGAGGGTAAATCACGTGCTTGTAATACAGCTTCTGTTTCTCCACAGTTGAACAGCAAACATTGTCCCTGTCACATGAGTTATATTGAAGTAAGCCTTTAATTCTTAGTTTTGTGTCCACAAACTTGTCAATTGGGTTTTTGTTCATTGATTATATGTAGCTTCTGTCTAGATGCCCCCAAAGTCTCACGTGGTTATACTTGGTGCTTTTCAGAGGCAGCTGGATCTAGGATGTGTGATGCTGGGATCCACAGTGTGCGGTACTCGGATTAAGGTTGTGATTCTGGGATTGATTCACGGAAGGACCCTAGGGTTAAGGCTGCCTCACCCTGGATGTGAGTATTCTTCTTCCCTGATTGCTTATGTTGTCACTGCTTGTCGCATACTGCTGCTGTGTCCTTACTTGGCTACTTCTGCCCACCATGAACTGTTGCTTGTTTCTCATTTTTGATGCCTCTTTACCATGCTATTCTGCTTAGGAGTTAGCAAAATATGATCTGAAACCTCTACAAACTGTGAGATGAAATAAACTTTCCTCCTTTAGTTTGAGTGTCAGGTATTTTGCTCAGCCAAGAGACAAACAAATACATAAAATACAACACGCATCATGTTATGCTAATTTAATCTATTTGACATATACTCTCCCACACTTAACATTTTTTGTATTGAGAACACTTAAAACATAGTAATTTGCAAATATATAGCATATCTCCTTACTTGTATCACAAAGATATACAATAGATTTATCGATCCAGTCCTGGCTATCTAACTGAAATTTTGTGCACTTTGGCCATCTCCCATAATAATTGCATGATTTAAGAAATAGCACTAGTGGCAGTTTTACCAATAATACTTTATATTCCTATAAATTATCAGTTCCAATATGAATGCTGCTCTGTTGCTGTGCTGCTTCCTTACTAACTTTTTGGGTCATACTGACTTAAAATTGAACAGAATTAGAGCTCAAATTTTAGGTGATAATTTAATCCATAGAGTAACTATAGAATTACTACAGGGTAATATCTCTGATTATTTTAAGCCCGACTTCCTGCATTAATTTGCAAACACTCTTATTCCTTCAAAATCCAGCCGCTTTCCAGTACTACACTTTTTGGATTTGCCATGTGAAGGAAAGCAGCACGGAAACAATTTTAGTCACAGAATGCACAGCTGCAGTGGTCTGACACCATGAGAGGATTAGAGCAAATCAGGCTAATTTCATGCAGGCAGGTTTTTGTGTTGTTTTTTAATATTAAGAAAAAAAATACAATCAACAATTTGCTAACAAATGAACACTTTTCTGGGTTGTAAAATGACATTTGCTAGGTCAAAAGTCATTTCTAATATTTGAATCCTGAAGTGTCACAAAACAAGTCATGTAAACACATGAATTGGGCTTACAAGAGTAAAATGCTGCACCAAAACAAAATGCAAATAGGAGCACCAGGGTTAACAGAAAACATGAGGAACATGTTTGAGTAAAATTTTCTGTTTAGAGTTCATTGTGGCTTTCAGAGAAGGGGCAAAGAGTCTAAAAACTTAAATTCCAAAAATATCCAAAGCCTCTCATTTAATCTTTTAACTTTGAAGGTGACATTCCCATCGTGATTGTGTGGAAGCCCAGAAGGAAACTTTGGGACAGTCTAGGGCTGGGGATAACACTGAGAATAGAGAAGCACTTCTAGAAAACGTATTAGAATGCATATTTCAGAATCTCAGTCAGTTGGTCTGGTACGAGGGTGCACATAATCTTGCATTTTGAAAGCACATTCTTAGGCAGTTATGATGCAGGTCATTCACGGGCCACACTGAGAAACACCAGTGTAAGAAGGTTCTTTCAACGAAATGTACTTAAATGAATGCTCTCATGATGAATAGGATGTGGTTAGAATGTTCTAGATACTCAGCGGAGCCAACGTGAAATGCAGAGGGAGAAAATATATCACATAGACAACTATGACAAATCAAATTAACTCTGTGTTATGTAACGTAAAAATGATTTTGGAGAGATAAGTAAGATAAATAGAGTACAATCCTTTAAATTCTGAAGGCGTTTTGCTTTCTGGGGTTACATTGCCTTTGTTTTATAATACTTTGTCTCCCTATTCTTGCTGGCAGGAAGCCTGTCTTTTTCAGGTCATAATCCCACCAACTAGAGTACAGTGCCCAGGACACACAGTAAGTGCTCAGTTTACATTAACAAAGGGAATTAATGAGTGGAAAAGAAAATATCCCCTAATATCTATAGTAATGCAGCCTAATTGGTGGTGTATTTATTTATAAATTCTCTCAAAATTTTTCATTCTGGCAATTTATAAACATATAGTTTCTTTTTTTGTGTGTTTTTTTTTTTTTTTTTTTTTTTACTTTCACAGTAAAGGTATGTTTCCCAGAACACTCTTTGTAGAAGTAGGTTGAATTTTGATTAGAATTCCATGTAACCATACTAGGAGGGGAATGGAATAATTCTCTTCATTATCCTCAGTTCTTGCAACCGAAAGCTAAATGAACTGTCTGCAGGAGTTCTGAGTGGCCGTATAAGTTTGCTAGCTCTGTGTCTGAGAATCAGTGCTTTCCATGGCAACTCCACACTTTACAAGTCAGGACGTATGTCTGGACTCCTTGTATGCTGCCCAGAAGGTCCGCACCCCACGCCATAGTCACAGCACGGTCTCTGTCTCTCGGGTGGCAGGCTGGAAGCCCACAGACACCTATCTAAGAGGCCCATCTTCTCATCCCTCCCTCTAATTCTTCACACTGAGCTCTGCTGATTTCCTTCTAAATCTATTCTAAAACTTTGTAGTGTGAGGCAGTGGTACGTGGAAGGGTTCTGCTTAGTGCTAAAAGAAGCTACTGAGAACAGAATAAGAAAAGGCAACAATTTATTCAGAATCTTAGTACACAGTCAAGGAGAGAGCCAGGAGTTTCCATGAAAGAAATCTCACTACCTATGTGACAAAGTTTTTCTGAGGATTTGAGGACTTTGGAAAAGAGTCTAGGAATTAAATGTAGACATGTCAAGAATGGGTTTTCTGAGTTGCCTGGTTGCTGCTGATATTTCAGGAACACCTGAATCATTGTATTTAAAGAAGTATGAATATATATATATATATGAATATATAATATATGAGAATATATAATTATATATAAATAAAAGTCAAAATAGATAAATAGGAAGTAGGAAGATGTTTAAATAATCTATTCTGTTGGCTCAAAAATATTTTAGCATATATGATATTTCCCTCATTTATACTACTGAGTAGTTAATTAAAATGAAAGTAATATTTCATTATTTCTTTTCATTGCAAGAGAGAATCATTTTTATGTCTCATACTCTAAGTAACTACTTAGAAAATAACAATACACAATGTATTATCTATTAACATTTTCTTACCTTTCTTTGTACCTTTTTTTTTACAAAAAAAAAATCAAAATTATAAATAGTCACCCCTTTACTTTTGCATAAGGCTATCTGTACACATTAGCTATTTTAGAGAAGGTGGGTCATGACTCATTGGAGGAATAAATGACTCTAAAGATTTGCTTGTTGGTTTCTGTGTGCTGTACAGGAAATTATTCTTTCTTTGGAAACAAGTTCTCACTGACTTGCTAAAGTACCATGAGGGACTGGAACTTACAATCCTTTTGCCCCAGTTTCCTGGAGCCCTGGGATTATAAGTGTGTACCGCTACATGTGGCTACAAGAATTTCCTTTTATTTTGAGTACCTTTTGGTCAGTGTTACTAAGCAAGAGTGTCTTAATGGGGAAGTTTTACAATTTCCAGTTTTACCCCTTTTGTCATTGATGGAGAACATCCTGCAGATGATAAATATCATGAAAAAAAAGTCCCTATTTTGCTTATAAGTAACTGCCTGTTACTTAACAAGACTGCAACCCTGTAGAAGTTTCTAAACAAAAATTTCTGGATGACTGAACGGGTAAGTTTTGTTCATAATCTGGTAATAGAGGTCTTGCATAATTTTTTTTTTCTTTTCAGATAAGATCTTGGAATGTAGCCCAAGCTGACCCAAAACTTGTCACAATGGTCCTGCATCAGCCTCTGGAGTCCAGGAATTACAGGTGTGTGCCACCACACTCGGCTTACAATTATTCTTCAAATAGAATACATATAGATAGAAGGATAGATTAGATAGTTGTAGAGAGAGAGGGGAAAGAGATAACAATACGATACAAGAAGCCAAAGGGAGGGCAATTTTAATTTATTGAAGAAAATTCTACCATTTGAGAACTCATTGTTTCAATTCAAAAATACTGGCTAAGTTTTTCACATTTTAATTGCATTTCTTGGTAACATGTACAGGGACTCCTGTGGATTTAGGACAGAGATTGTTAAATTGGTGAATCTTGACAACAAATTCAAATGCTTAAATTCTAAGTAACATGCTCCAAAGATCAATTCTGTGAATTTTTCATATAAAAATCACTTTTCTCTCTTTAAGACCGGGATCTGAAAATTGATGTAGAATTTCATTCCTTTGGGATAGAAAGAAACAGTGATATTTTGCCTAGTGTGTGTTCATTATTTATGTGTTGTGGGTAGAATCAAATGACTCTCATGTTTATTCCTAATTTTTTTAGCATTTTAAAAAATGAACAAAACTGGTATATATACACTCAACACAGAATCTTTTAGCAGAGCCTCAAATAATCCACAAAAATGTACTACTCTGATGTGGGATTACAAATTGTGGAATTAAAATCAATAAGAAAAGGAAATGTCAAACCTTCAGGGTGTTGATATTATTACTATCTTATTACTGTTTTAATCGCAGTGTTAGCATAATGTAAGTTTATTGTTCAAATGATTTCTAAAGCATATAACCAAAAATCTTGCTATAACAAGATCTAAAAAGGATGTAAACAATGCAGAACTTAATTTTCTCATAGAGCAAGGTGCCAGGAACATGGAGAACTCTGAACACCAAACAAAAATGGGTTCTTATCTCAGGCTTTATCTTTGTCAAGCTGGTAGAAGGGGCTTGTAAAATTATGGAGATTTTAGATATCTCTGTGTGCATTTCACCCATTGACATTTATTTTTCAGAATTAACATTCAGAAACTTTTAAAACAAGATATCCCAGCAATGGAACTGCTGCCCTAGCAATGACAAAGGAAACAGAATTCAGCCTCTGAAAATCTCTACTCCCTATGTGAGAATATGAGCAAAAAAGACAAATAGAACAGGAAGAAGGGAAGACATTATGTGTATACAGGGGTACGTATATGTACAAGATAGATAACTGTACTGCAAATCTCTGTAAGTTCATCAATAAGAACAGCCTGAACTTTCATTGACTGATCACTTCTTGTAAATCTTGCAATCTGAACAACTACTTCTAAGATAACAATATACAGGCCTGGGGATTTAGCTCAGCGGCATAAGCTCCTGCTTGGTACCGATCCCTGGTACCGATAAAAACGAAAAAGACAAAAAAAAAAAAAAAAAAAAAAAACAAACAAACAAACAAACAAAAAAAAACCAAACAATATACAATACATTAACTAGTGTTATTTCCTACTATTTTTGACATTCTGTATCATGCCTATCCTTTTTGTTTTGTTTTTAAAATTAAAAATTAAAATAAAAAATAACTTCTATCAGAAAAAGAGTTTTCACCAAGTGCATTCTCTAGAAACATCCTGAGATTCATGTCTCCCAGTGATCCCTGTACCAAATTTTGAGAAGCATCATGTCAGACCAACAAAGGGAAGCCTTTCATGATCAAGATGGAGACAACATTTGCAAGCACACGGGCTCCACGAGGAGCAAGAATTGGTACACAAAGCTGGAATTATACTAGAAAAAGAGATGCAAGTTTAGACAAGTACCAAGTAAGCAACCAAAAAGCAAGCTTCTTACAGCTCAGCTGTGAATGGGAAACCAAACAAGATTTGACTGTATACAGATATTTAGTCTAAAAAGCAGGTGTTTTTGGTGACTTACATATACTAACCTCTATAAAGACTCTAATGCCATATATTTTGGTCTCACTTGGAAAGCTGGTTTCTGATGAGTCATCTACTGCTTCTCTGAGGCCCTGCTCTCCAGATTTATTGACCTAAATCTGGCTGCTGTCTGTAAGAAGTAGAGATATTTTGGGGGAACTGAATGGAGTACATCCATAGGCAGATGATTATACAGGTCACTATTTTATTTTCATTTTTCTTTTTTCCTGTTTTCTCTATTTTCATTTTTCTTTTCAATCTATAGACAAGTGCTTAGCATTGAAGACCCCAGAATACCTTTTTTAGCTTTGTGAAGCGCGGCATTGTTTAATTTCAGACAGACAACTAGCACAGCATAGATATATTTGGATAAAGAAAGGCTAACAAAAAACCTCATTAAAGATAAGTCCCTTTCAAATGCACTGGGACACGGGTTTGTGTTTACAGCTAGAGAGCAGGGCCACGGGCAGAGACCAGGCCATTCCTGAACTCTGTGCTAGTAGCTATTTTTTCCATGATAGTGACATTCTGACTACACTTGATATCACACATAGTGACGGCCTTGAAACCAATTTTCCTAGGACATTAGTAGCACTGTGAGGGCCAAAGAAAGGAAGTGAGGACATATCCATCTCTGTATCTCTAGACTATAGTCTCATCTTAATTGGTGGTTTTTATATGAAATAACTAAAATAGTGTCTATAATTTGATCACCATGAAGAAAATACTACATGTCTAAGACTTAGGTTTCCTGTACATAAAAATGAGCTGATCAGCATATGTAGTTTGAGGCTGGGTTTCTAGGACAAAAACATAATATATAGAATGACACAATTATGAGGCTCAGGGGTAACTTTGTAGCAAGCCACAGATACTGTGAGAACACTACATGCCAAAAGGGAATTTTGCTGTTATGACCAAATCAAGGGTCTTGTGATGCAAATACTGATTTGTATGATTCAGGTGAACTGGTGTAATTACAAAGGTCCTATGATAAAGGAAAAAAAAGGTTGCCTTGGTCACTTCCCTCATCACCAAGGCATAATACCTGACACCCACAGTTTAGAGAAGAAAAGGTTAGCTTTGACTTGAGTTTCAGTCAAGAGTCAGCTGGTTCCAAGGCAAGATGACACAACAGAAGAATATAACAGAGAAGAATCTGTCACCACATGGCAGACAGAAAGCAGAGAGCACCAAGGGAAGAGTCAGGGAAGGACATAAACCCTTCCAGGCCTCATCCTCTGTGATCTGTCCCTTCCGACAAAATCCCACATTCTAGCATCATGTCAGTTATAAACCTCCATAACCCAATTACTTTCCAAGACTCCCACCTATGAGCACAGGAGGCTTTTGGAGTACATCTAGATTTAAAGCATAACAAAGTCAAAGCCAGAAGTAAGAGATTAGAGTTATTTGATACAGTGGCAATGAGCCAAAGAAATCAAGTGGCTGCTATAAATGCAGATAAAACCTGATTCTCCCTTGCAGCCCCCAGAGAAACATGGCCTTTATGAAGCATCAATTAAGCCTCATAGACTCTGTGAATAATTCTAACCTCCAAAACTATAATATAATAAATTTGTATAGTTTTAGCTCAACAAGTTTGTGGTACCATAAACAACAGAAAATGTACGTACTTAGGAATATTCTGTGAATGTTAAGAAGTTCTATGTTTCTATTTTTAAAGTGGACCCTCATATCAATATTTTAGTAGCTGTAAGATAATAGTCATTTTCCCATTTAACTATATATATTCAATAAATTTGGTAACTTGAAATAGTCTCTACTTTGCATGCTTCCAATATGCCTAGTTTTCAGTTGTCATGATTTAGTTCAACAGCATCAATCTCCCATAAACACAGCTGAAGTCTCAGTGACCAATATATTAACTGTGAGAAAATGCCTTGAGTACCAACTGTTCTGCGAGCTCTGTGACACACAAATTTGTCTGAAAATAATAAGAATATCACTGTCAAAACCCAGACTTATCATTTTTTTTTCCAAGTCAATGCATGACTGGACAATGAATACTTGATTTTCAGTTTATACAAAGTTGTTTCTTCTCTTCCTGTTCAGTCATATACCATATTGAAAATGTGCAATCACAAAAGAAAATTGATCAACAAAAATTAAAAGTGATAATATTCACTTACAAGTAGACAGTCAGTGAGGGGTAGGCCTAGGATAGAGTCACTAGATAAAAACCAAACAGCACATACACAGCATTAAGAGCTAATCCAAGCCATAAAGCTAGTTAAGCTTAAGTTAAATACCCAGGAAAAATGATAAAAGTCAGGATAAGAATGCACAGGTAAGAACTCTTCCTCCCACGAAAGAAACTTTTAGGTAGCATAAGTTGACAGCTCCTCCTTACTTGGGGCTTGAATGGAGAAACAGAACTAAACAGTAACCAGGTTCCTTTGAACACGGCTTCCTTTGTAGCTGATTTTAGACACCACATTGCAAAGCTTACAGCCCAATTGGCTTTCTAGGCTCACAGAGTCACCTGTTTGAAATGAGTTCCACACTCTGCTTTTCTATGTTCAGACCAAAATGAAGAAAGCATCTCAGAACTGTAGTTTTGGAGTCCCCTCCTGGAAGCCAAGAACTATTTTTTCCTCTTATTATCTCCATAATCACTTTCTAACTTCTTTTGTCAACAATTTTATTCTTTGACATTGGGAGACAGCCAGCTTAGGTTTACACAGTTTGTTCAGAATTAACTGTTTCAAAATAACACTGGGAGTAAAACTCAAATGTAAATCATTCTGAGAGGAATGACTTGACTAGGAAAATCCTAGGGCTAAACCTACTGAGATATCCCAACTCCCAAGAAATCAGAGATGGCAGTGATATTAAACCAATATCAGTGAGGAAAGTGATCATGACAAAGTGCATCAAGATTACCCAGAGAAAATGATGATACTTGCAAAAACCCCAAAAACCTTTCATATGAAAGGGGCCCTGCAAAAGGTTTTGTGTCATTGAAAGCATAAAATATAACATTAGAAGCTGAGCCCAAGTTGCAAGAGAGGTTGACATTTTATCAAGGTTTAAAAAGATTTAAATTATACAAAAAGATGACTAGTGCTGTTCAAACACGGATAAGTTTTGTATAAAGAAACAAAACACTTCAATTCTTTTTTTCTAATGCTTTATGTTGCAGTATATTAAGCAACTATTAATTTTAATATTTTATTTCTCTATGCAATAAAAAGAATTTTAATGCTTTTGACAAAAAGATTTTAAAGGTTATTGTACTGCCATAATTTTCTTATGAATTACTAAGATCATTTTATCCACTTTTAGCTTGTATGGTCACTTTTACAGCTCTAGCGTACTAAGTAAGGCTTGCTGGCATGCAGACCATTAATGGATTGTTAAATCTGCCATTGCTGAATTAAGTGTCTTCTGAGATCGTAACATCTTCTATGTCACTCTACCTATTTTAAAGCTCCAAAACTTGGAAACAAAAGAAGTTAAACAATATGCACAAATTACCAGTCAGTAAGTGGTTGCTGAGATTCAAACCCAGTGTTGGACTGTAGATTACTCCATTGGCTTAACCTTGTCATTTCTGACATTCCTAGGACTGTGTACTAAGATATACGTCCTTCAAGGTAAATTGCACTTGTATGAGGTAATCATATTAAACCAATCTTAGAAATGGGAACCAGTTCATTAAAGGCCCCCGAGGAAAGGCATGAAGCTGAGAAAAGCTATCCAACATCTCAAAGTAAATGATGGTATCTGACTCCATACAAAGACTTTTGGTGTGGCAAATAGTGGATAAATACTGCTTGTTGAATGAATGCATTCAGTGGCTGGACATTTAAATTATATTCTAAACTTTCTTCTCAGAATCTCAAAACCAAACTTTCCCTTGCCCTTAGTAACTTTCATCTGCAAGGTTTTGCCCATTCCAGACAGCCAATCTCATTTGTCTTTTCTGAAGAAAGGAAATATTAACTTCCTGGCAACCTAATGACATCATAATGTCTGATAATTGTTTACTGTGTTTTTCTTTGAGACTGCGTATGTGTATTTTTAAATGAGTGTTCAAAGCCCAGATGATAAACAGCGTATTTCTGGGGTTTCAATATAAGAAGTGTGTTGGAACTAGTAGTTTATACAGCAAGCTTCAAGTGACACTACAAATTTGATCCAGGGATTATTAACTGATAATGAATGGCTTATGCATCATGCACTGTGAATTGCACAAAGCGTTGGTGGCAGTGTCTGCGTGAGGGCTGAGTGCATGGCTTTCAGAATCGGCACAACAAGTATACCAGGCACACTGATCACTGGGAGGTTTCCCCAGCTGAAGCCTTCCCTGCAGACAAACCAGGCCCTCACTCCTTTAAAGAAAGCTTTCTGTCCTCAGCAGCCTACAGACTCCTTTTCTTAAGCTCTTTCTTTAGACTCAAATTGCTGCTTCCTTGCTTTGTCTTTTTCAAACTTTTCATTGGTATTCAAAGAGCTGGCTGCAAGGCTTGGAGGGTCCAGATGGAGGAAACACAAGTTCATTCGCTAACTTCTCCCATAGGACAAAGGATGCACGAGAAACTCCCCCAATCTTCAAAGTCAGCCTCTCTCAACAATTTGTATCATTATCCTGCTGTTAAAACTCTCACCCTTGGCTAAAATGAAAGCATTGTCTTTCTTTTTTCTCTACCTGAGTCTGGAGAGCATAAAATCCTACATTATCTTTTAATTATGATTTAAACATAACAATAGATATGACAAAATCAGTTCATTTCATTGCCAGTTACTAGGAAGGCTAATGTTTCCAGTTATTGTCAGAATTTTCTTTTCTTGATTCATATTCCTCTCTTCATTGATAGCACCCTTGGTTTTCTTCTTTTTAAAATGATTTTAAAAACTCTAATCATGTTTCAGTCAGAAGAAATCAGAATAACAAAGGCTAAAGAGATTCATGCTTGCTAAACCAGTCCACCTGGAAAATCCCAGTCACTCTTGCTTTAGCCCATCATCCTGGACAATGTCACAGGGCCGTGCTTACCTCACTGGGAGCTAAGAACCTATCATTTTTACTTGTTCACTTAGGAAACAAAAACACACTTATATTCAATTAAGAAGATAAAGAGAGTGAATATGGAACACTAGACAGCTTTGTAGTAATCTCCAGCTCAATACCAGAGAAGTGAAGTTTCTTCATTATCTCTTTCTTGAATTGAAATTTTTTTCCTCTAACACAGGTTTTTATCATTAAAATATCATATCCTGGGTCAACATTCAATTCTTATTTAACACTGAATTCTCAGAAAACTTTCTTGTTTTCTTTTGGGTTCCTTTCAATCTGCAATGAAGTTGGACACAGTGCCTATGTGTGGTAGATTATACGGCATAGCAATCTTTGCCAGGCCTTTCACTGAGCTGGGTCTGTGTCTCCTCCTGCTGAATCTGAACTGACTTGTGACTGCTTTTGCCTGTGGAACCTCTGAAACCTATGTTCTGCCAGTTCCAGGAGCAGCCAGAGCTGGCACCTTTTGTCTGGTAGCAAGGCTCTGTGGGGATGATCTAAAACCAAATGGAGAAAAGAATCTATTGAGATCAGCCTTCCAAATGTTCTGTATCAAGCTACCAAACATGTGGGGCGAATCCAATTAGACCCCGAAAATTGTTTCTGCTCCTCACTAGTTCCCACCAAGTCATTTAGTCAACACAATAAAGAGTTGAACAACAAGTACAGCTGGCTGGGGCCAACTTCCTAGCCCCCAAAATGATGTGTTATTCTAAAATGCATGTTAGTTTACTTTCCTAAATTATGGTATGATGTAATACATAGCAATTGAAATTCAGCATTCTGCTCCTATGTCACGTGTACGGATACTCAATAACACCTTGTACACTACAATCTAAGATCTCACTGCCTTC